TCCCAGCAACGATCCAACTAACAGAAAAATCTTCAATGATAATTACACACACACAGAGAGAGAGAGAGAGAGAGAGATTTGTGAAAACCAAATATGTCTATGGAGATTCTCAGCCATCCAGGTCATGGTTGTCCCAAAGATACTTTTTCCAAGAGGGAACTGAACTTTCTTTGAAGATGTCTTGCTTCTCATCCAAGAAGCTTCTTCAGCTCTGACTGGATGGTGGGGAATGGAAGGGTTTATACAACGAATGCAAATGACCAACTGAAAGGACTATAAATCCTTCCATTCCTCACCATCCAGCCAGACCTGAAGAAGCTTCTTGGATGAGAAGCGAAATGTCTTCAAAGAAAAACCAGAAAGTCGAGTGGCCTCTTGAAAAAAAAAAAAAGCAGCTTTGGGACAACCAAACATTCACATAGCCACGTTCTCAGCAATGACCCAACTAAGGCCAGAAGGGGCCAACTTGCTGTGTTGCCATGGGACAATTCAACTCATGCAAAAGTTGAATTAATTTTGACTGAACCATGCCCAATAATAGAAAAAGAAAGAAAAGCAATCCAGAAATACAAGAGGTATAATAATTTCGACAAAAACGTGATCACCAATTATAAAAGAACCTGAATGAGACAATTAATACAGTGTTGAATTGTCCCGCAGCCAGTGGTCCTGTGGCGAGCCAGACATGGCAAGTTGGCTGTGGCAAATTGGTCACAGAGAGTTGTCCTAGGTCCAACTAAGGCAGGTGTCTGTAATAGATTTAACAGAGTTGGAAGGGACCTTGTAGGTCATCTAGTCCACCCCGCCCCCCCGCCAAAGCAGGAGACCCTACACCATTTCTGACCAATGGCAGTCCAGTCTCTTCTTGAAAGCCTCCAGTCATGAAGCTCCCACAGCTTCTGAAGGCAACGTCTGTTCCATGGGTTGATTGTTCTCATTGTCAGAAAATTTCTCCTTATTTCTAGGTTGAATCTCTCCTTGATCAGTTTCCATCCATTATTCCTTGTCTGGCCTTCGGGTGCCTGGGAAAATAGCTTGACCCCTTCCTCCGGTCTGTGGCAGCCCCTCAAATATTGGAAGACTGCTATCATGTCTCCCCTGGTCCTTCTCTTCACTAGACTAGCCATTCTGAATTCCTGCAACCGTTTTAGCCTCCAGTCCCCTCATCATCCTGGTTACTCTTCTCTGCACTTTTTCTAGAGCCTCAACATCTTTTTTATAGTGTGGTGACCAAAACTAGATGCATTATACTAGGTACGGTTTTACTAAGGCTTTATAATCCCGATTGATTTATGATCTTGATTGAATCGCGGTCTCCAAACTTGGCAATGGCAACCTTAAAATTTTGTGGACTTCAACTCCCAGAATGCCCAAGCCAGAATGGTTACCTGAGTAATTTCTGGGAGTTGAAGTCCACAGGTCTTAAAGTTCCCAAATTTGGAGATCCTTGAGCTAAAGGAAACATCTCCATAGTTAGTTTTTGTTTTTGTTTTTTAAATTTGTGGCAAATACCCAAGCATGCATTTTTAGCCATGTTCTGGAATCTACAAAGTCGGAATTTTGCTTTTCACCAAAGCGATTGGCTTCCATTGCAGACTTCTTTCTTCCTCTTACCTTCTCGCACTCTCTCTCTCTCTCTCCCAGCCTGCCATCCTTCTTGCAAGTCATGCAGCGGAGCTGAGGATGATGAATGCACCGCTTGTCACCCCCACGTCTCTTTCCTCAGTGGAAGATGCAGAACGGCCTGCAAGAGAGAGCAATACCTCAATCTGGTAGGATATTGTGCGGGTAAGTGCATGAAAAATATTGAACCGCTTGCAGCGCAATTTATGGTGTGGCTCTGCCACATTTGTAACCTTGACTTCTCTCCCCCCCCCCCCCCCCCCCCCCGGTCTTCCAAGGAGTTCGCGAATAATGCAATTTTGTCTTCATTCTGAATGGAATTCGTGGGAAGTTTCTGCTTTGTTTAGAGCTGCGTTTGAGGCAAAATGCAGATTTGTACTCGATGTCAGGGCTCCAAGTAATACACCCGTAACAATCAGTACACCGAGGCAGGTAGATTCCTCAAAGAACAATTTATTCTGGATCTATCGTATCGGCACAGGCTGATGAAAACTGACTCTAAACGATTCCCGACTAAACGATTAATTTGGTTTTCACCAAATGAAAAGTAAAAGTCCCCCCCCCCGCTTTTCCCAAACATTCAGTCACATGGTCCAGTCAAGGTGCAATCTGGTTGCTTGGTAACATCACTCCTCCTTTCTTTCAGCCACTTGAGGGAATGAATGTCCTTGGTTCAGAGGGGAAACTATTTTGTTTTGGCTACAAAACCCTAGCTATCTCCCCCCCCCCCCCGCCCAATCCCTCATCTCCATTGTAGCAACACTGAAGCCCCCCAAATAGCTTCAGTCAGGCCAGCTTCAAAGCTGACACTCGGGCTTTCGGCTACCACCTTATGCTTGCTTGTGCTTTGCTACATTATGCGACAGACTGCAATGGATGGGGGCGGGTGGGAGAGGGAGGCAAGAAGGGGAATATAAGTCACCTAACAGGTATTTGGGTTAGAAATATATAAACCAGGACAAACATTTTAGTACTGTATCTTTAAGGGAATGCAAGAGCATGCAATTGGGTGTGGTTTCTCAAACAGCCATAAGATGGAGCCAGAAACCTGGGTTGTTTAGTCTTAGTCTGAGTCTCAGAAGAGAGTGTGTCTGAATGATTATCTCTGTTTCCTTCTGTTGGAAAGTATTGCCGTTCTTCCATTTCTTCTAATTGACTGATATTACTGGATTTAATGTAAGTCTGATACTGAACTGTTTTTGACACTGGAATTTGATATTTGGACTATCCCTGGATTGAAAAACTGACTGATTTATCTGTGAATGACTTTTGGACTGCTTATTTTGGACTTTGCTTAAACCTTTCTGGAAGTAAAAAACCTACATTTACTGCACAGTGCATCTGTGTGCTCTGTGTATATTATTCCAACACTACTCTCTATACGTCTCCCTGTATGCGCTCATTCTCCTAACGGGGAATTACCTCAACAGAAACGAAAGTAAGTACTGTGTCTCTCCGAGACACTGCTTCAAGGTCGCCCACCATACCAGCTACAGGCCTACCTGTGCCTGGATTGACCATTACAAACACATCTGTTGGTGCCGCAGTGGTTAGAATGCAGTCCTGCAGGTTACTTCTGCTGACTGCCAGCAGTTCGGCAGTTTGAGTCTCAGTGGCTCAAGGTTGACTTATCCTTCCATCCTTCTCAGGTTGATAAAATGAGGACCCAGATTGTCGGGGGCAATATGCTGACTATGTAAACCGATTAGAGAGGCTGTGAAGCATTATATAAGTCTAAGTGCTATTGCTATTCCTCCTTGCCCACCCCACAAACTGAGCAATGTGATATATGCAGTACAATGCAGTGAGATATGTACAGATCTGCACATTGGAGAAACAGAACAACCACTTCCCCAATGCATGGCACAACAGAAGTTCATTGGTTGCCCTCTCCCCTCTTTGGAAGAGCTTTAAGAAAGTTCGAAATATTCTCAAAGATCATCTCATGCTGGGCATCCCTTTTTTTGAACTATTACCATCTGGCAGACGGTACAGAATAATAATAAAAACGAGGACAAATAGGCTGAAAAACAGCTTCTATCTCAGGGCAGTAGCTCTTTTGAATTCTACTGTATAGTGCAGTGTTGGTGCAGTGTCAGGGGTTTTTATTTCATTTTTCTGGTATTATGTCTTGTAAAAATAGCTCTGGCTTATAATCTATATGCTGCCTTAATATTTTTTCTAACCACGTATGCACGAACCAAAGCCATCTTGAATAAGTTTCCTTTGTCTCTTATGTGATCTGAATCATATTTCCATCTACTTCCAGGCATTTTTGCAATTTAAAATGTTCTGGCATTTGTTTTCACTCTCTGATTACTCCTAATTTACTGGACTTGTAGTCGTTGCAATGTTTAGCCATAGCAGATCTAAACTGCACAAATTCAGACAAGCATTAGGGGGCAGCAGAGTAGACAGTGTTTATATGTAGCAGGGGTGTCAAACTCAAGGCCCGGGGGCTGGATGTGGCTCACAGGGGACTTAGATCTGGCCTGCGGGGCCTGCCTGCAAACAGCAAAGGACCAGTGAAAATGGACCTCCCAAGCTCCGTTTTCACTGCCAAAGGAAGCCGAAAACAGAGGTCGGAAGCCAGTGGTGGTGTTCTATCGGTTCGACCCAGTTTGGGCAAATCAGTAGTAAAAAATGCTACTGTTTGGCCGAACTGGTAGTTAAAAAAAACAGCTATTGCTTCAAGCCGAACCGTATTTTTTCCCCCCCTCCTGACGATCAGCTGTTCCAAGGATCAGCTGTGCTGGAATCCCCCTCACTGTCTTAACTGCTTCGCCCCTGAGGCCCAGGTGGCAAAAAGGAGCGTGCAGGGAGGGGGATGCTATGCGCCGTCCCTCACTCTGTTTTTTTTCCTCCGGAGCCTGAGGGAAACCTCCTAGGCAAAGCAGTGAGACAGCGAGGGGGATCCCGGCACAGCTGATCATCGGGAGGGGAAAAAAATAAAAGAAAAAAAACCACGCCTATACTCAGTCGCATGGCCATGCCCCCCTAGCCACGCCCACAGAACCAATAGTAAAAATATTTGCCTCTCACCATAGCCGGGAGCCGCCGTTTTCATTGGCAGAGCACACGACCCATCACAGGCGCTCCCGACATGAGTGACGTCATGATGGCCACGCCCACCCTGGCCACGCCCCCTCGCTTCTATATTGTATTGTGCGGAAAGGGAAAAATATCCCCAGGATGGGTTGAGTAGGAGGTTGACATAAATACTACTGCATTGAATGTTAATGCTCCTGTTTGAGGAAATTTCAATTTCTAATGTATTTTTATAGCTGTCACTCAGTCTGTCATTGATGCTTGTTTAATATCAAATTTTCCTTTCCAACCCCTGGGGGCAAACACTGGATATTACTTCTTCAAAGAAACTTCTCCTTCTTCTTCTTTTGGTTCCTATATAGACAAACAGTTCAGTTTGCCAACTTCAGATTAATTGCAGCCAGAAAGCCAGTGGCAAAAAGCGAAAAACATTTTAATTGTGAGAAGCTACACCAATTATTATCTTTCAGAGAAGGTAACGGAGTAAGTCAATTTAATTGGCAGGAAGGGAGTAATAGAAAAATAGTGCTATTCTTGGGAAGAACAACAGACCCAAAATGAGGTCTTTTGAAAGGCATTAGATAATTAGTTGAGTTCTTTTCTCTGCAACCTGTTCCACTTTGAGATAATATAGCCAGTTTTTACATTGTCAGTAATCCCGTGAGGTTTGTCTGAAAGAATTATTTCTACTTTTTTTCCCTCCTTCTTTGATTTCTTTTTTTCCCCTTTCCCATTTTGAGAATCCAGATTTGTCTTTGTAACAGTCTGGCAACAACAGAGAGCAGCTGCTTTTAAATGTTCTTGCCTTGTTGAGCAGTGAGCCACATAATAAACCAGATTGTCAGTTTTACGTGTCTTCCCTAGTCAGTTTCACTCACCTAATTTACAGGTAGCGCTAAACTTACAACTGTTTGCTCAGGAGCCTTTCAAATCTGCAAGGGCACTGAGAACGGGACTTATGACCGTTTTTCACACAGTGCAGCAGGATGGGTTGAGTAGGAGGTTGACGTAAATACATCAATACTGAAGTCAAAAGGGAAGCCAAATTCACTTAACAACCAGTCCTGCCTTAGTCATGAAAGCCGACTGGGTGATTTTGGACTAGTCACTCTCTCCCAGCCTAACTTACCTCACAGGGTTGTTGTTGTGGGGAAAGGGGGAAGAGGAAACGGTATTGGATAAGTTGTGCCGCCTTGAGTTATTTGTGAAAATAATAAAGGTGGATACAAGTGGTGGGATTCAAAAAGTTTTATCACCGGCTTGGTGGGTGTGGCTTGGTGGGTGCGCTTTGCGCACATGCACACATTTCGCATGCACGCGCACCAAATTGGGACATTGGGGGCAAAGTTGGAGCTAATAAAGGGAACCAGACTTATTCTCTGACTGTGTTGCCTTTGTGCCATGCCCCGAGTCATCACACACTCCTTGCTAATTTGTTGTGCTTGAATTGGAAGTTCTATTGACAAATGGATTTTGGCACCCCCCCAAATTCTCCTTGTATCATCATTCAGCTGAACCAAAGCTTCCAAAAGAAGAAGAAAAGGATGGAAGGATAGAAACGAGAATACACTAAGGCAGAAGCTCATCCACCCCAAATACAAAACATCCAGACACAAACTGAGCAACATGGTGTATGCAATGCAGCGAGCTATGTGCAGATCTGTACATTGGGGAAACAAAACAGCCATTTCATAAGCGCATGGCACGATATAGGAGAACAAACCCATCAGGACTAGATTCAGCAGTCCATCTGCATTTAAAAGACACAAGCCACTCTTAAAGACAGCAAAGTCCACATTTTGGACTGGGAGGACCGCTGGTTTGAAAGAGGGGTCAAAGAAGCCATCTATGTCCAAACTGAACAGCCCTCTCTCATCAGAAGGGGAAGGGTACCACATCCTCTATCTCCAAGGACTACAACATAGTCCTTTCCGCAGTCCCAAGAAGGCTCCGCACCCTTTTGCATCACTCGGGTGACCCTGAGGACACAGATAAATCTCCAAGTGGCCTCAGTGACTCTCTAAAAAGAATGCAAATCACCAACTGTTTGCAAGGAGTGTCAATCCTTCCATTCCCCACTAATCCAGTCAGAGCTGAAAAAGCTTCTTGGATGAGAA